TCTAAGCGGTTTACAGAGTCAGCATATCGCCCCCACAATCTGGGTCCTCATTTTACCCACCTCGGAAGGATGGAAGGCTGAGTCAATCTTGAGCCTGGTGGGATTTGAACAGCCGAACTGCTGTCAGCTGAAGTAGCCTGCAGTGCTGCATTTAACCACTGCGCCACCTCGTCTCTCTTATAAAGGGGTGTTTCCCTCCCCCTCTCCTATTTTCTTTGGTGCATTCTGTAATCTGTTTTAGATTTACCTCATGATATTCCTGTGTTCCTGATGATCTTACGTTCTTCCTTTTCTGGATGATGAAAATAAATTTGAATATTACATATGTTTATATTTATAGAACAGACAAGAGGTTTGCGTCAGTGTCTCCGACTTCATTTGAACAGTTGCTGCGCAGTTCCTTGACATGAACGAATTGATAATAAACATCCTGCGATGGTACCTTTCAACAACACCTGACCATCCCAGATCCTTGGGAAGGATTCGATCAGTGGTGGGATTCAAATAATTTAACAACCGGTTCTCTGCCCTAATGATTTCTTCCAACAACCAGTTCAACAAACTTCTCAGAAACTTAATAACCGGTTCTCCCGGACTGGTGCGAACTGGCTGAATCCCACCACTGGACTCGATGAACCCAAATGCCAAATCCAATCTAAAGATCTGGCTGATTTCATGACAAATCATAATGATAGCGTGTATGATTAACTTGACCACTTTACACTAAAAAGAGAATGCACTCAAGTCAGCTGCAACCATTACAGTTAAGACAGTTGTTGTGCCGTGCCGGTGACTGGCCCCTCCAGCAGCCAGATGAAAGGAGGAAGAGGCATGGGAGCCAGGGTCAACATCAAGGCAACCTGAGAGATCCAAGAGGGAAAGAGGGAATAGAGTTGGCAGAGAGACAGACAGAGGTGGAGACTGGGCCATCCATCAGCCCTCAGATGGAGGGTCAACAGCCCTCCAGGTCTGGAGGCAGCTGATGAGGAAGAGGAGGAACAGCTGGGTCCAGTGCCTGACACACGGATGAGCATAAGGCAGAGGAGAGGAGAGCAGTGGAAATCCATGGGCTGGTCCTTGGGAAGGAAGAACCACTGCTGCTAGCAAAGTCCCACCCTAGCTCTGGGGATAAAAGGCAGGGCGCATAGACGAATCGACGTGGCAAACAACTCTTCATCTTCCAGCCAGCTGGATTTATCAGCCTGCAGGGAGAGAAAAACTTTTTTTTGCTGGGACTGCCAGCAGCCCCAAGAAAGGACTCTTTGAGTTAAACTTCAGAGGGTTTGATGCATTTGGGGAGCTGGGTCAGAATAACCCAGGAGGGTCATTCAGCAGAAAAACAGGTTCCACCACAAAACCGCGGAGGACAAAATCGCGCTCGACGAAAGNTGGTCATCTGGCCAGCATGATTAAACACCAAAGGCGCACGGAATGGTGTTACCTTCCCACCAAAGGTGGTCCCCATTTTTCTACTTGCATTTTTTACGTGCTATCAAACTGCTAGGTTGGCAGAAGCTGGGACAAGTAACAGGAGCTCACTCCATTATGTGGCACTAGGGATTCAAACCGGCGAACTGCCGACCTTTCTGATCGACAAGCTCAGCATCTTAGCCACTGAGCCACCAAGTGAATAAACCAATGCAGTATGATGATGCAGTTCAATACAATGTCATCAGTCCATGCATAATCAGTATGGTTCAGAAAATTCACAGAAGAGTCCACCTTAGCTGCATTCCCCAATTTGCCATGAGAATATGTTTTGTGGCCTCTGTTTTCCCTTTTTCAGAACTCTTCTCTGAATAGAAGCTTTCCTTAATGTAAAGAAGTCACATAATCTGAGACTTGATTGCATCTCTGTTTGGGTCCATTAGACATTGCCTACAACTAGGCACCCCTGCTCACCATTCCTTGTTTCTATTATAAAACGAAGTAAATAAAACGCAACTTAGGGGGAGGAATTTAGGGTGGGATTAATGTATCTGTATTTAAGAACGAAAGAAATCTTAAAGGATTCTGTTGTTAGTGGAGATCAAATCTCTTTCCTGTTACGTTCCGTAGCCTTAACCATAAGCGATGCATCATTCAGCAACCGCAAATCTTCCTGGATGTCATTTGAGCCCTTCAACATTCGACACAAGGTTCATATCCGGATGCAATTCCAGACCTTTTCAGGAAATGGCATCCTCTTTTACGCTGCTCAGCATCTGAGTTCACGATCAGGTAAGTCTTTCATTTTACTATCCTGTGATAAGGGGAAGGGGTTAGAGGCCAAATGAAATATTATCTGATTTGATTAACGTGCCATGATTTTGCAAGAGACGAATTGTTAGGATATTGAATTTAGTAGTTGGAAGAGCAAACTGTACAATAGGACAGAACACACAGTTGTAGTGGATTACAGATGTAATCTACGCTGCCATTGGTTGCTGTGATTATAGTAATAGACTTATATATCGCTTCATAGAGCTTTCAGCCCTCTCTAAGCGGTTTACAGAGTCAGCATATCGCCCCCACAATCTGGGTCCTCATTTTACCCACCTCGGAAGGAT